TGGAGGCCCTACTCCTGTTGTCGTGGCCCGCACTGCAGCACGTCAGTATAGACGTTCTGAAGGCTGGCAGCGGGCATGACGGGAAGTTTGGGGAGACTTGGGAGAGCAGAGGCTGGTTCTGAGTCCTAGGGGCGGCCATGGTAGCTGGTTGGGCTCAGCCTTCTCAGCAGGTGCATAAGTCAGTGAAGGTGAGAGCCAGTGCCTGGCTCCTCAGGTAGATGCTACGTGACTCCTGGCACATTGAATCTGTTTCCTGGGTGACCAGCTGGGCCAGGGAAGATGAGAGGACAGCGGTGTGACAGGAATGCAAGGGAGAGAGGCAGTGCTCTTTGCTGGCCGGCCCTTTGCATGTCACTGGTGTCCTCTGCCAACCCCTTTGGCTTGCTTGGCATTGTCCTCCTGCCCCACAGGGGCCTGGATCTCCCTAGCATCCATTTCTCCTTGCTGTCTGGGTGGGATCCCTGCTGATGGGCCTGTACCATTTTGTCTGAGACTTCCACATCTGCTAATGGCAAGAGGTGGCCAAATGTGAGGGCAGACAGACTGGTACGAGGCAACCCAGGACCCTGCCCTTGTATGTGCCAACATGCTGGTGACAGCAAATGGATGAGAGGGTGCAGAGGGGGGAAGAGCTCAAGATTCCATTTTGTCCGGGGCAGCATTTGGTCTAGGCAGGTTGCTTGCCCTTCCTGGCCACAGACCAAGGAGGCAGAGCCATTCCTGGTTCAAGGAGGCGTGTGACCGTAGGCTTCCTGAACAGGAAAGCACTGGCTCTCTACAGAAGGTGGGGCACACATGGTGCTCTGGGCACTGGCAGGGTGACGGGAAGTGATGGGCCTGTGCGTCCAGCTGGACAATGGACCAGGGACACTTTATCATCATACCCCAGCCCTCATCATCCCCAGTCTGTTTTCTGGGGAGGCCTGAGCAGGACATCAACAGGTTAGGGCCTCTCAAACTCTGAGGATGGCAGGTCTGGGAGGTAAAGGAGCTCAGACGCCCAAAGAAAAACTTGCAAGAATCCAGGGAAATATTCCCCTTTTGAGGAGTGCTCTAGCCTGAGCCCTGGTGACACAGGGACCCTGGGCTTTCTTCTTGGTGCCATCTGGTGGGCACTGTAGGGTAGGGGTGACCAGTCCACACTGTGGCTTCCACTTTGCCACTTGTGCACAGGCTAGTGCTGGCCACTGCTAGTTAGGTGAACTCTTAGGCCTCTCTCTGAGCAGGGCTGGGGTGGCTGGCCCGTAGTCCAGAAAGCTCTGGCTCTGACCTGGGCAGGCAGCTGCACCTTGAGCAGGGCTGAGCTGCTGCCAAGGGCCCAGGGGCTCCTAGTCAGCTGTGGGATGCAGGCTGGACCTCTGTGGGTGGGGACTGAGCTGAGGCTGTGGGTGTGGAGTGACGGGGGTGGGCCATGGCTGGAGGTGGCCCATGGGAAGGAAGCTGGGCAGGCAGCTGCACCTTGAGCAGGGCCAAGCTGCTGCCAAGGGCCCAGGGGCTCCTAGTCAGCTGTGGGATGCAGGCTGGACCTCTGTGGGTGTGGAGTGACCAGGGTGGGCCGTGGCTGGAGGTGGCCTGTGGGAAGGAAGCTGGGGCTGCAGGAGCCAGGCAGCGGGCTGGGCTGGCAGCTGATGAAGGCCTGAGCAGCTCGCAGTGCATGGCTGGCTGGTCCAACACCGAAACCTTCAAAGCATTTGCCTTCCTGGCAGGCCCGGAGCAGGGCTGTGGCTGGGCCGGGAGAGGCCTCTGTGCGCAGGGGAATAGAAGCCCCAGATCTGCATCCAGAGGCGATTTTCCCAGGCTCCTTCCTCCCACACAGCGGCTCCCTCCCTCAGTCCTGGAGCTGGATCAGGCCCTTCCAGCCAAGTCCTCATGGCTGCACAACTCAGCCCCAGGCTAGGCTGCTCTTGTCTAGGGGAGCAAAAACCAGGGCAGAACCCAGGACAGACAAAGGCTCATTCGCAGAAGCCCAAGTCCCCTCCCACCGAGGATGGCTCCCAGTCCAACAGCTGCCAGAGAGGCCACTGAGCTGGGAGGCCTGCAGGGGCCAGATTTCTATCTGAGCCCCTGGTCTGGTCTAACCCATCTCAGGGCAGAGGCTTCTAGGACTGGGGAAAAGAGAGCAAACTGGCAGGAAGGGCAAGCCACGGGAGGAAAGGTCACTGGTGACTACCCTTGAGTTTGGGTGAGGAGCCTGGAGTCCCCGGCCCAGCCCAACTCCCCCCAGCCTCCTTCACTCCACCTTTAGTTGGACTTGTCGACAGGAACAAAACGACTGGTCTGTCTCACTTTTTCACTTGCCCTCCCTCTGGAAGTGGTTTTAATGAGCAGAGAAATGGCTAAAAGGCCATAGGGAGTACCGCCTACATTAATTAGATCGCCTCCCTTTCCCAGTGGGACCTCAGCACCTGCCTCCCCTCCTGCTGCCCTATCCCCAGGGTCCTGGAGCATCCAGATGGAGCGAGGCAACGCCCTGGTGGTGCTACGCAGCCTGCTTTGGCCAGGCCTCACCTTCTTCCACGCCCCCCGCACCAGGAACTATGGCTACATCTACGTGGGCACTGGCGAGAAGAACCTGGACTTGCCCTTCATGCTGTAGGATGGGAGAGGCCGGACGGTCAGTATGCAGCGCATCAGGTGTTTCATAAATCTCAGTGTACTCGGCCTGTTGGCTCTGTCCTGCTTCCTCCCCCCCATTCCATCTGATCCCCAGGCTCTGAGCCAGGAAATCCATCTCTAAAGCAGGGGGCGAAAGGCCGGACAGTGTTGGTAAGAGAAGAGAATGATGGGTGTAGATGGCTGTGGGAGAAGGTGGCAGCCAGGGGCCCTCTGAGGAAGGCAGCTTTGTGGACTCAGGTGAGAGCTACATGTGGGCCAGGTAGTCCAACTCACCTCCTTGCAGCCCCCCAGACTAAAGAGTTGTCAACAGAGGATGGGACCCTGTTGCGTCCAGCTGCATTCAGTGGCCCACGGCATTGCTCCGTGTTCAGCAGCCAGCTGGGACTGTGCCCAGGCCCCAGGTACTTCGAAGCAGTGAGCACACACCTAGCAGGTCAGGTAAGCCCACAGGCCTGGTTATGACATTCCTTAGGGCAAAACTCTTGTCCGCCAGCCCCAAACTCATCATGACACCACAGTGGCTGCTGAGGGACCCAAGTGTCCTGTGGTTAGTCCCACTGTCCGCTGTGCCATTCATGTTGGAGGCCGGCCATCCTGGAGGGATGGGGCAACAGCACAGTTGTAGCTGAGGGCTCATAAGCTGGTCTAACTCCACAGTGAAGGGGTAGGAGCTCTGGTCAGGTCGGGAAGGCCTGTCCTCAATCAGTGATACAGCTTCAAAGGTGTTCTTGAGTAGGAGATGTTGTCCTTCAGGAGGGGTGACCCCACGGCCATGTGCACCTTGTTCCAGCGGTGACCTTTATTGTAGATGGGCTTGACAGAACGGGGAGACCAGCGGGTCAGGTAGCTGTGCGGGAGGACAGAGTGGCTGTGAGAGTTGGGAGCCCACCCTGGAACTGGGGTTGGGGTACTAACTCCTTCAACCAAGCCATGGTTGGCCACGTAAATCCTTTCACCACTTTTCCTTTCTTGAAGTGCAGGGGATTTTCCTGGGAGTAACGGCTGAGTGTCCTGTAAACACACGGGCTGGGCTCTTCTGCAAGCGTGTGTGGCCAGGGTCAGGCAGCACGGGGCCACGAGTTCCCTTGATCTGTAGTTGTCAGTGTTTGTGTGTTTGCAGGGAGAGGGTGGTGGAAGAGGCTGCTGGGAGAGCAGATCACTCCTCCCTGACCTCAGCTGTGGGGCGAGGAGAACTGATGTAAGGGGCCTGGAGGAACCCTTCCTCTTCCCCACTTGGCTCACTCTGCCACTCCAGCCCTCAGGGAATTCCCCAGAGCACCCCTAACTGGTGTCAGAACACTACCCCTCACCCAGCCCATGATGAGAACCAAGGGGTGAGAGCCTGTGGGTGCAGCCCTAGCCCAGGAAGGTTCTAGTAAGTAGAAGGGGGGTGGGAAAAGATGGCTGCTGCCCATGATCCTTTGACCTCCTTTGGGGATGGCCAGGGCCCTGATAGTTCCTGGAAAAGTGGCTCATACTGGCTGGGATTGGGATTTACTCTGTTCAGAGTGAAACCTGGATCCTTTCCAAAAAGGCCCATCCTTCATCGTGAAAGCTCAGCTATGACAAAGGCCAGGAACCCTCCCTTTGCCTCTACTCTAGGTTAGGGCTCGATCCAGCCGCCTTTGGAGACTCTCACATAAGCTTTTTAATTTAAAGGATTAATACCCTGAAAATTTGTAGATTAAAGAAAGGGTAAAAAAGATCACTGATTTATATATTTCAATGAGCTCGTTTGGACCTTGGTCTGCTGTCGGCCCTATGCACAGGGGCCGCTGTGAGGTGCTGGTCTGCACTCTGAGTGTGTGATGGGCCCTCTCCGTGTTCACGGGAGATGTCAATGCCCTTCCCCTTGGAATGGGCTGGCCCCGTGGGTAGTTTTCCCAATGACCAGTGGTGTTGGGATAATGGAAGAATGTAAGGTAAAAGGGAGGGAACGGCTACCGGCCCCTTCCAGTTTCTAGGTGGTAGGTGAAGAGAAGGGGGTATACTGGAGGCAGGCTCCCTATAAAGGGTACTCGCTGGGACTCAAGGACTCCTGAAGACCCCAAGGCTGACCAGTTCTCCAGAGTCAGTGCCCTAGAAGCACCTTGGTTTTCTAGGGACTAAGTGTCTTGCTTGCTTCCAGCACCGCTGGTGCTCTACGGGGAGCTGTTCTTTTCCCTGGGCCCAATGCCTATGCCATGGGGAGCACTGGCTGGCAGGGAGTGAGCAGGGGGCCTCTAGTCAGTGTTCTGAGAAGAACCAAGGCTCTTTCCTAAGCCAGCCTTTTGTACCTCTTGTACAGAGGCAGGGAGATCGGACATGGCAGGAAGACAAAGCATGGCTCTGCTGGGCTCGGCAGAGCCTGGGCAAATGCGTAGCAGCTCAAGGATCTCTGGAGGAAATCATAGAGCCCCTTGCTAGGGAATCAATTTCCTTTGGAGTTAGAATTCCCCCATCCCCCATGGCCTTTTGCAACCCCAAAACCCCCACACGTCATCAATCCTATGTCACGTTAAAGGACACCGGATGTACGGGAGGGAGCCTGGCTTAGCTTCAAAGGCCTGAGGGCAGGATGGATTGTGTCCTCAGGCCTGCTGTCTCCTAAAAAGTCTGAGAGGGGGGCAGGCTCATCCCCCAAATGGTCCCTAGCTGTTGAGAGACACAGAAAGTGGTTCGTATGCACTGCTCCCCCAAGATGCTGGCAGATGGCCCAGCGAGAATGAAGAAGGGGCAGGTGGAGGGTGCACAGGGCCAGGGTGCTGGCAAGGTCTCAGTGACGGTCCAGCTCTGGCCCAGCCTCCAGGATAGGGGAGACGGGGTACTAGGCGGTAACCCTGCATTCCTACGTCTTTGCACCCAGAGCTCAGCAATCTGGCCTCCCACCTGCCATGTCTGGGTTCTGTTGAGCATCAGCCTAGGTTTGCTGGGGGTTAACTGTTTTGCTTTGCTTCCATCAACTTTAGTGCCTGTGGAAAGCAGTTCCATATTCCTTACTCCAGCCTGGGACCACCAGTGGTACCCAGATGGGCTGCTGGAAGGGGAGAAGAAACCCCAGAATGATTTTATAGACTGGCTCTAGTCTCAGCAAGGGGATATTATAGACTAAGAGTATGTGAATGTGATGATGTCAAAAATATGGGAGGAAGGACTTGCAATAGAATAGTTACTTGACAATGAGGCAAGAATCTGTTCCTACTCTAGAGGGCCACCCTGCTTAGGCTGGAGGAAGACTGATTCCAGGATCCGAGGGCCTTTTTGTTGTCCTCTGTGAAACCTCGGGACTTTGAGATCACCATGTGCAGCTGTGTAGGCTGTTCACAGTACGACTCTAGGGAGCACCACTTGTTATCGACTCTGCATGGACGTCGCCCTGAAGTTGTACAGTGCCCAACATGCACAACTGTATACAGGGGACCTAATTTGGCAGGCCTTCTCATTTCTAAGGCCTGGTTCTGCCCTTTAATAACCTCAGTGCTGGAAAGAGATGAGATACTGAAAGTTTGTAGAAGTACTCTGACATCCCCATAGCAACCCAGTATGATGCCATAAACAGGGATTAACACATTCTAATGACCAATCGGCAGTCTTCTTACCCTCTGTGCCCCAGACCTAAGTGTCCCACAGGGCAGGGAAGAGGAACGAGGCCGAGGGCAGCAAGAGAGGTGACAGACTGCCACAGCGGAGAACCAGTGAGGGTAGGGTGCTCGCGCTGGATGGGAAAGGCACAGACAGGGGAAGCACAGAGCGAACGGCTTCCCCTGTGAAATCCAACGAGAACTGAGTGCCAGAGCGCTCAGGCTGGTGCAGCCAGGCTTGCTTACCGGTTTAGTCGGGGCTTGGTTTTTGGAACAAATCCTTCAGGAAGCCGAGGCCTGTGATTTGGGAACAGACCTGAGTGGAAGGAAGAGCATATTAGGGGCAGGTCTCTAGCTCTTAGGAGGCCAGAGTGAGTGGAGAAGTGGTACTGGAGGATGGGTATGACTAATGCTCTGGATAGCCACTTCCCTTTCGGGGGGGCTGGAACAGGAGCAGGTGGGTGGGGAGAGATGGTGCCTGCAGCCCTCTGCTCCTCTTAGTACCCTGGGGCCTTCTACCTGCTCGGTGGGCCATCTTCACACACTCCTCAATCTTGCGATGCTCTTCCTGACACAGGCCTGTGACCTTTCGGGGCAGCATGCCTCCGTGAGGCCGGATGAATTGACTGAGCAGCAAAACATCCTAATGGAAACCAAAAATAAAAGACATGAGGGGGCCAGGTGGTGGCACAGTGATAAAACACTGCAAGGCAGTGCTGAGGGCCAGAGGTGGATTGTGGCATAGGACCCACTGAAGGTGCAGTCTGTCTCTGTTGTTCATGGAATGAAATAAATAAATAAAAGATAGATATGAGGGCTAGCGAGCTTGCTTTTGATGCCCGGGAACTAGGGCCACAAGGTCTGTAGTGGGGACTATGGGATCCCAGATCTCCAAGAGGTTGATGTTTCTGTGAACCTACCTGAATCATGCCCTGCACCAGAGCTTTGCATACAGGTCTGTTATCTTTGCCCTAATGAAGTTTTTCTCAGCTTACTAAGATTTTCTTTCTTTCTCTCTTTTTTTTTTTTTTTGGAGAGATTTTCACTGTAGGGTGCGTGCGCTCGCCAGACAGACAGAGACATAGAGATAGAAAGCGAGAAATCACCCCCCAGGGGGGATGGTCACACCGCAATCCCTTCTCCTCCATTCTCCTCTCGGGATCTTGGGCACGCACGCACATGCGCCCAGCGTGAGTTTTAAGCCACCGGGTCCGGGATACAAACCGCGGTCGACTACGTGGGAGTCCAGCGACATAGCCATTACGCTAACTGCTGGTTCCCTTTCTTTCTCTTTTTAAGAGAGTTTTGCTATAGCATGCATATGCTCGCCAGAGAGACAGAGTGGGCACGCATGCACGCAGTGCCCAATGTATTTTAAGCTGCTGGGTCTGGGACTTAAACTGTGGTTGACTACATGGGAGTCCAGTGACATAACCGTTATGCCATCTGCTGGTCTGGCTTGCTAAGATTTTCTGTACCCCATTACCAACCTCAAAAGCCCCCAGCTCCTCCTAAGAGATAATCTTTTGGTAGGTTAGGTTAGAGAATAAAAACTCTTCAAAGAGATGCTACCAATCTTTCATGCTCTTGCAGTGTTTTTCTTGGTGACGAAATGTCTGTTGGGCTAGCCTCTCTGGGTAGAGAGGGCACATATCATTATTTCCATACAAGAGGGAAAACTTGTAAACCGTTTTATCCCCAAAGCCTAGATGTCCCAGGCCAGAGTAGATGCGATGGCCCCTTGTCCTCCTACATTCCCTCCGAAGTACTGGGCATGTGGGAGAAGTGCCCAGTGTTGGGATCTTCAACCCACGTCTTCTAAGCCCCATGACAGATGTGAGTGGGTCCTTGGGCTTCCCTGGATCATACACCCACCAGGCTGCTTGGGACAGGTCAAAGAAATGAGATAAATAGAGCCAGAATCAAGGTAAGAGATCATCTCTCTCCACTCCCAACTTCCACAGAAGGCCTGAAAGGGTTAAATAAAACTCAGCATCTCCCGCCCAAGGGTTTGGCATGACAGTCTTAGCAGTCATGTTTCACAGACCAACTTGCTGCCCTGGCAGGCGCCTCACTGTATAACCACAGATTTGTTTAATCACTGGACAGCTCCTGAGGGACCTAGGCCCTCCACTCCCACCCCTGTATGCTTCAGAATCTGATGAAAAGTACTTGGATTGGATTAATCCAGGGCTAATAAACTGGGCTCGTGGCCCCAGCCCCCACTGGGGACTGCCAAGGAAGCCGACAGCTCTGTGCAGCTCAGGATAACAGTGTTCTGAGTGGAAAGGGGTAAAAGGAAAACAACTTTAGCCTTTACCTCGGAGGGATTTGATTTCTTCTGCTGGACGGACAGAGCCAAGGACACTTCCTGGAAACGGCTGGTAGGAAGATTGCCCGCAGTTGCTGGGCAGGTGTGGAGTCCACTTTCTTACCAGCACTAACTGACATGTCACAAGAAGCTTAGGCTCTCTGACCTGCTTGTGGCCATCAGGAGAAGAGCCCCAGGGCAGGGAGAAAAGCCCCACCCCCCCCACCCCCAGAGTGGCCTGAAGCCAAGGCTCCCAGCCCAGGAGATTAGTTGGGTCATTCTGTTCAGATCCCATGGGCATGAGGCCCTCCTGTTCTTATCACCTGACCAGAATCTCTGCCCTTAGTCATCCCATTCCACAAAGGGGCATAGGGACAGCTTGCAGGTCAAACTGGCCTAGAGCCTGAATCACCTGAAACCCAAAAATAGGGTGCTTAATGTCACCAGTGAGAGCTCTGAAGAACAAGTGTGGATTTCTCCAGGGCTGCGTCCTTACCCTCCCATCTCTGCAGAGGATGAACAGAGCAGTGGTTAGGAACATGAGCTCTGCCTGGGCTTTGTATCCCTGGAGTTTGTATCCTAGATCTGATACTAGCTCAGTGAGCCAAGAGAAGCACGTTCATTAGCTTCTCCATGCCTCCAATGTCCTCACCTGTAAAATGAGGATGAAAAGTTCCTCCTGGGACCAGCAGGACCTGTGTGGTAGGTAGTTAAGGAGCTGGACTCCCACATTTGTGTCCCGGTGGCTTGAAAATCATGCCAGGTGTGTGTGCGTGCATGCCCAAAATCCCAGGAGGAAAATGGAGAAGGGATTGCAGTATGGTCATCCCCCAGGGATGTCTCACTAACCCTCTCTATATCTTTCTGGCAAGTGCACGTACCCTGTGGCCAAAACAAAACAAAACAAACAAAAAATTCCTCTTTCCTAGAGTTACTGCGAAAACGAAGTGAGTACCACATGTAAGTTCTCACAACTGTGCCAGACAGAGAGTAAGCACTCAGTATGTTCCCTACTGTGATTATTCACTGTTACCTTTTTCCCTGGAAACAACTCTCTGGAAGAGCTAGAGCCTTCAGTGTCCTGGTATCCCCAATGTGGAAGGAGACAAGTCATGTGTTCCCAGGTCACAGTGAGAACCAAGAACCTATTCAAACGTACCCTCATTTTTATAAAAAGAAAGCCAAACTCAGATCATGATTCCCAGTCCCTCAAGGACACAACACTTGCAAGGCTGGGTTACAGGGCCCTGGTGCTCTGAAACACAACGAGCCCATGAACCCAACTGGTGGCTCTCAACCCTGGCTGCCCATTAGAATCCTAAAAGCTTTTAAAAACTGCTTAGGCCCCACTCCCTGAGACTGTTTCAGCTGGTCTGAGGTGGAACTTGGGCATCATTTTTTAAGCTCCCAGGTGAGTCTAATGTGCAGAGTTGTGAGCCACTGGACAAAATGCTGCTGTCTCTGGTGGTGCTGTGAGATGCAGCAGGAGCTACAGGGGGTGGACACCGCGTTAACTAGGGAATCCACCCTCCAGGACACGCAGAGCTGTGTCTGCACGCAGACTCACCTCATAGTTATACTTGTGCTTCAGGTTCCAGCGGCAGATGGGGCACTGGCCTGAGGGGTTAGGGGGATCTGGACTCTCCTTAGGAGTCCCTGTGATACGGCCTTCGAGCTAGGAGACAGAGAAAGAGAGCTAGCGTGAGAGACCTGGCCAGTGTGGAGTCACTTATCTTTTTGTTTCTTCCCTGAGTGTGTGAGTGAGAGAGCAACAGGGTCTTGGTGCCACGGTCCACCCCTAGCCTTCAGCCAGCCCTGGATCATGGCTAAGTGCATGCCTGGTCGGACACAAGGAAATCTCTGGACTTGAACTGGGAACCTTCCCACACGGGACTGCCTCGCGGTGGGTCGTGTTTCAGTCCTATGCTATCTCTTGGTCCCACAGCCACTTAGAGTAAACCCCCAAATGACGGGAATGCCAGTGGGTGTCTATCTCCAGGGGTATTGTGGGAGTAGCTCCTCAGTCTCTCTGCCTGCACTGTGGCATATGTTCTGCAGCTGCTAGGTACTGAGCCTTGGGGCAGCTACAGGGATGTGGTCCACTGGCCTGCAGGGTAGTGAAAACTGAATTTAATACTGGTGGAAAGAGAGTGAGAAGGGTTTGCTCTAGTAACTGAGTATTACCTTTCCTTGCTTAAAAAATTAAACGAAATCACCAGAACTTCAGGCTTTCTCCCCCCCCTAGGAAAAAGTAATACATATACACATGGTAAAGTTGCCAATGGCACAGATATGTAGTGTCTAAAGGAAGGCCCCCTCCCATGCCACATGTCCTCCTCAAAGGAACTTACAGTTTCTAGCTTTATCTTACAGAGCTAAGGTCTACATCAATGGCTCTCAACCAGAGGTCATTTCGCTCCCCCAGAGGATGCCCTGCAATGCCTGGAGATATCTCTGATTGTCATGATCAGGGAAGGGGTACTCCTGGCATGTAGCAGGGATGTTGCCTACCATTCTACATGGCACAGGACAGCCCTCACAGAATTATATAGCCCCAGACACCTATAGTGCCCAGGCTGGACAGGCAGATATCTGTGCATAGCATACTGCCGCTTCTCTCATTCTCCAAACACACACACGCGCAGAGAGAGAGAGAGAGAGAGAGAGAGAAGGATACATTCCCATCTTGCTCTTTGCTCTATCATTTTAGATGCCACCTTTCCGACCCTGCTGGGGTCACAAGTAAAATGACCTCCCCATTGCTGCTGTATCCTGTGACATAGCCTTGGAATTACCGAGTGCAATAAGCCAACAAACTGGGAGTCAGCTCCGGTTGCGAGAGTTTAACAAGCCTTGCTGACTGAGGCCATGGACTCTGAACGTGAGGCTGGGACAGATCTGAGAGACTTTGGGAGGGAAGCACTACTCTACCTTCTAGGGGAGAACTGGCCAAAAGAAAAGGGGAGGCTGGCCCTACTGCCTAATGGTTAGAGGGGCTGAATCTCACACGGCCAGCTGTGCAGTGTGAGTCCCAACCTTGGGGTGCTATAAAACACGCCAGATATGCACAAAATCCACTGGGTGGAGAAATGAAGAAAAGGTTGTGGCATACTCATCCCCATTGGGGAATGCGTTTTACCTCCCTTTCTGTCTCTGGCAGGTACAAGTGCAAGTGCCCTCTGGCAACTTAAAAACTAAATAAATAAAAAGGAAAGGGGGTGGAAGTACTGCTTGGCGGTGCTACCCACCCTTCTGCCACAGCAGCTAACGTTTCCTGACTTCCCACTACATGCCTGGCTCTGTGCCAAGTACGGCTCACACATATCATCTCACTTAACCCCCCAGCCTAGTGAGGGACACATCTGATCTTATTTCATAGAGAAGAGATGAACACCCTAGTCAGCTATGGCAGTGCCTCCAGCACGGACTGGCTACTCCACCGCCCCAGGGCCTTCACAGGGCCACAGTGTTTCCAGTTCATTCTACAAATAGCAGATTCATGTCCCACATGAAAAAGACGATTTTTAAAAAAATGATATATATATAGAGAGACAAACAGACTGACAAACCCTGGATGGGTGTCATCACCCCATGATCCCCTTCCTCCAGCCCTCTAGCTCCACAGAGTCCTGGGTACTCGCATGTGTGCCTGATGAGTTTCCAGGCCTAATGGGGATCTGAACCCGTGGTCACCATGTGGCTTCTAGTCTTGGAGGGCCTTTGTGTTGCTGCTGCACCACAGAAGCGCCCTGAGAGTCACTTTTTACACTCAAAAGTAGGATGTCTGTCTCTCTTCCAGTGTGGCATTTACAGGGTGAATGCTCATTTTGCCTTTGGATCAGGAAACCAAAAAAGGTGCCCTAAGGAAATGGGGATGCCCTAAACAGATCTGTTTTAAGGCTAAGCAGTGGGAAGGCTGAGGGAGTATTCAGGGGAAGACCCGATGGACTCGTCCTGGGGATAAGACTGCCTTGGAGAATTGGGCTTGGCTGGCTGCCAGAGAACTAAATCCCTGGTTGACATGGAAGTTAGAAAGGCTTCTGGGAGCTCTGCAGAATGGCTGAGGATTTCTTGGAGGCATAGAAGGCCATGTGAAAACAACGTTGTCTTTTAAGGATTATAGGATAATCTAGGCCCCATGACTCTCCAAGGAAGGGAGGTGAGATGGGCCCAGTGAGCAAAAAGGGGGAGTGGGTAGATGAAGAATCGTTCCAGCTTTCCTACCAACAGACAAGCCAGGGCGCCAGCTAGGGAGGCCAGGGCCCAGAGAATGTCACCTTTTACATGTATCACTTAGGGAGTAGCTTAGTCATTCCAGGCAGAAAAGAAAGTATCTGAGGTTTAGGCTCCTGGCCCTGGGTCAGTTTACTCTGGCTCTCTAGACCCATAACACTGACTTAGTTTCCCCTTTGGGAAACTGATTTATCATCCATCAAAGAACACATCAGTAAAGGCCTCTGAGACCTTGGCATACAAAAGGCCACTTTAATCAAGCAGCAGATACCTCAGTTCAGGCATGGCGACTGTTCCTGATTAACCACACTACAGCACACGCTTGGGAAAATAGTAGACTGTGGGATTTATGGTCACCCTGGGAGCTGATCCTAGAGCCAGGAGTCAGTTTGGGCCTCCCTCCCTTCCTCAGAGGAGCAGCCAGGCAGCTCTGAGCGTTAAAGAGGTTGTAAGTGGCCAACTCGATGATACTTACTATAGTTGTCTTCCCTTCTTGGATCTCCACCACTGCAGAGATAAAGGGGAAAAATTGGGTCAGCCATTTAATAAGGAACACGGAGTTTCAAATAACAACTCAAATTCTACACAGCGGGAAAAAGGAGCTTTTAGTCTGCACTCTCCCACAGTCCCCACCTGGAACAGAAAGCATGCAGGGTTCCTTGTCCACCCCACCCCCCCGACCAGTGCCAAGGCCCTACACCCTCAAGGTGGGGCGGGAGCAAGCCTGGGATGCACAGATAGTATTTTCTCTCTGGGATTAATGGTCTCCATGCTGCTTTTGCCATGCTAAGCTGAGATTCATCTTGGTTCTGAGGGGAATTGGCAAGATCCTGCCCTACCCTACCCTATTCCGGCTAGCAGAAATGTCCTAAGAGCTGGGGAGGCAGCCGCATCTAAAAAGCCTTTAAAAGTACCCCTTGCATGTGTCTTTTCACAAGGCCAATCAAAAATGGCTTATGACTTTGAAGAGTTTGCAACCTAAGATACAGTGCTGGACTAATAGTTTCAGTGGCCTCATAGCAGATACGTGATGAACCCAGTTCACTCCTAATGCTTGTCTTGCACGTTTCCTGTTAAGTCTGTGAGTTAAATTCTTTGCTCCGCTCCTCTCCCTGCAGACTTGCATTGTGTTTACACTGGAGAGGAGTGAGGGAAGAGGTGTGAGTAAGGAGCCTGCAGATCCTGGGTCTGGCAGTATGCGGCGGCAAGTACTGCCACTCCAAACTGAGAGGGGCTCCCTCTTCGCCTATTAGGTCTTAGGCACCCAGGAAAGAATTCCACGGCAAGGCGGTCAGTTGTACGCATCTGTCGGGGTATAAGCATTTCCTATGTTACTTAACCAGGATGCAGAATGACAACTCCAACCATAATCAAAGGAAGAACCAATTTAATAGCTCCCTTTGGCAAATATAATCAAGTAGTTGTTGGAAAATCTCCCTTGTTCTCCCAGTTTCTTTAGAGAAAAGCCACAGCTGTTAGCGTAGGAACTGGTACATAGCGAATGCTCAATAAATGTTAGCTACTATTTTTAGGGAGCAAAATACTTGCCATAGTCCTCTTCTGACTGTTAATTACTGTAATGGAAAACTTGGACCCACATAGTAGCTGGGCTGCAAATTATCTGTCAAAATACTAAAACCATATTTTAGCAGCATCCTGGTTACCACCATTCAGTTTTACTCAGCTCTGGCCAAGGCCAGAAGTGGTACAGATTAGAAAGAGCTTACCTTTGAAAATCCAGTGAAATCTATGGACCTCCCCCTAGGGAAGTGTCCTTATAAATAATAAAGTGTACACACACACACACACCCCCAATAAAACATGGATTTCAAGGCTAGGCGCCTCCTACATACCTAAATAGTAAATACTTATCTCTTGGTGATGCCAATTAAATGCTTTTAGTATTTCTTTTTTGTATATATGTATTTCCTAAAGTTTTTGAAATAAACATGTGCTGCTTTTCTAATAAAAAGAGAAGGGACTATCTAAGGAAAAAGGCAATTCTAACTCAACCAGGGGCCCAGGGCAGCATCTGTGATCACTGAGCTCTGTGACTGACACCTAATTGGACACAGACTGCCTGGAATTGTTCCCCATTTGTTTTCTGGGCAAACCATTCATAAAGACTTATTACTCCAAAACAACCAACCTGAGAGCCCCTCAGAGTCCAACTCCAGACACACAAAGGAGTAACAATGACCAGAAAAGCCCTGAGGCTTTCTCCAGAGAACACTGTAGTCACTTATCAATTCAAAGACAGAAAATGCGTCACCCCACAAATGGATCTACTTGTACAGAACAGAGACCAACCCAAGAACAGGATGTGGGTGAGACTCAACCTGGTCCGCAGTCTACAAGCCAGCACAGGGGCAGAAGGAAGGTCACTGTGACGTGTGAATCTGCAGACACAATCTCCAAAGGCGGGTGGAGTGTGTGTCTAGAAAGAAGGCACACCCTCGGTCCAGTAGGGGTTCCAGGCACCCTGGAAACTTGCAAATTTGCAAAACCAAGCTGAGAGAGGGGCTAAGGGCAACCAAATCTGAGCAGTAACAAGTGCCGATAGTGGGAGTATTCTGAGAATCCCTATAGGAAACAAAAGGAGAGACACATTCTGGTACCATTTGAGTCAGCACAGGAACAATGCCCTGAAACTCAGAGTGGATAAACATGCGGTTCCCTTCTCTTCTTGGTGGAGGCACTTGGGTCTTCACCATGAGGTAAACAAGTCTAACAAAACACACATCACTCCCGGCAAGGAACCAAACCCTTAAGTCATCCCACTGGCCCAGGGAAAAGAGATCAAAGCCCATGGCAAGCTCTACTGTTCACAAGTGATCCACACAGAACTCTGAGCCAGTGAATCATCTTACTAGAAGCCAGTGGGTAAAACAATAGGCAGATGCTTATCTAATAGAGACAATTTGTCAGACCAGAAGGAATGACCGGAGAACTCACACAAGACTGATTAGGGTGGTGTCTTAGTGCACGGGAAGAAGGCCCGGCTGGAGCCTGCAAAGGCCCTTAGCAGGTTTTAAGCCTCTGAAAAGAGGAGATAGCAATCAGAATGGTATTGATTTTCAGTGTGCATACAAAAACATGTCAAAAACAAATAAAACCCGAGATCCATTCTGTCCCTGGCTGCCTCTCCATTCTACAGAAGTGAGGGTGGCTAAGAAAAACTGGACTAAGCGATTTAGGCACTAACAGAAAATGTGTTTAGATAAAGACTGAATCACTCTTATGTTTTGAGATATGGCAATTATCAAGTAAACTAACAAAAGAAGTTGTTTTCTAAACTATTGGGTTGTCAAAAAAGTCATGATGCATTTTTGCATAGAAAAACATATAAAAAATATGTCATGATTTTTCTGACAACCCAATAGTACTGAAGGACCACTATCAAGATAGGCACTTCTCTGAGACCAGCAGATGGTGTAATGGCTACGTCACTGGACTCCCATGTGGGCGACCACAGTTCGAGTCCTGGACCTGGTGGCTTAAACTCAAC